AAAAAAAAGAATTCAGAGTAGAGAAAGGTATGAATTGTAAGTTCAAGCATGCCACGTCCCAAATTTCCTTCAGAAGTGTTGATGCATGCCCCAAGAAATCTGCATTCATTTCCTAGCGCTGCCTTAACAAAGTACCCTAAACTGTGTGGCTTCAACCACAGAGGTTTATTCTCACAGTTCTGGAGGCCAGGAGTCTGAAATCAAGGGATTTTTTATTGTTTGTTTGTTTTTCCTGTGAAGGCTGTGAGGGAGGGTCTGTCCCAGGTCTCGCTCCTGGATTCTCAGAGCCTCCAGAGTTCCTTGGCTTGTAGGTGGTCTTCTGTCTCTGTCTTGACATTGTCTTCCCTTGGTAGGTGTCTTTGTCCACACATCCCCTTTTTATAAGGACACCAGGCACACGGGATTAAGATTCACCCTCATTACCTCAGCTTAGCTTGATCACATGTGAAGAGCCTATTTCCAAATAAGGTCCCATCCACAGACCCTTCGGTGTAGGGCTTCACTATTTTTCGGGAAGACACAGGACAATGCTTAACATTATAGATTTGCAAATAGTTTTAGTTTGAGTTTCCGGGTTTTATTCTTTTTCACATTAGATGGGTGATGTGATGATATCATAACAAGTTTTGAGGAAGGCACATGAAAACCCAATTGTCATGCTTAGGTTTTGGTTTTTTAACTTTAATTTTAATTTTCTTGCTCTGTTACTCAGGCTGGAGGGCAGTGGTGCAAACATGGCTCACTGCAGCCTCAACCTCGTGGGCTCCAGCGATTTTCCCACCTTAGCATCTCAAGGTGCTAGGATTACAGGAATGAGCCACCACACCCAGATTTTCCCTATTTTTTGCTTGTACCTTGCTCTTTTTACTCAAAAATATACCTTTGCAGCTGGGCATGCTGGCTCATGCCTGTAATCCTCAGCACTTTGGGAGGCCGAGGCAGGTGGATCACTTGAGGTCAGGAGTTCAAGACCAGCCTGGCCAACATGGTGTAATGCCTTCTCTACTAAAAATACAAAAATGAGCTGGGCATGCTGGTGCGTGCCTGTAATCCCAGAGACTCGGGAAGCTGAGGCAGGAGAACCACTTGAACCCTGGAGGCACAGGTTGCAGTGAGCCAAGTTCATAATACTGCACTCCAGACTGGGTGGCAGAGTGAGAGTCTGACTAAAAAAAAAAAAAAAAGAATATACATACATATATATATATACACACACACACACACATCTTGGTGATCTTTTCATATATCAGCATTTGCTGGTAAAATTTAAATTCTATGGTAGATTTCATTTAGATTAATACAATCTAAATACTATTCTATTAAGTTCTACAACTAAAGAAAATAGGCAATGCATTTAAATGATTCAAAGTTCAAAAACTATGAAAGTATAGAACTGAGTCTCCCATATGGCAGCCAGTGGCTTCTGTGTTTCTTGAAATCTAAGTGAGGCCAGATATGGTGGCTCATGCCTGTAATCCAAGCACTTTGGGAGGCAGAGTCAGGTGGCTCTCCTGAGGTCAGGAGTTTGAGACCAGCCTGACCAACATGGTGAAAGCCCATCTCTACTAAAAACACAAAAAGTAGCCAGATGTGGTGGTGAGCCCCTGTAAACCCATCTACTTGGGAAGCTGAGGCAGGAGACCTGCTTGAACCTGGTGAGCAGAGGTTGCGGTTAGCCAAGAGCATGCAGCCTCACTCCAGCCTGGGCAACAGAGCTAGACTCCATCGCAAAAAAGAAAAAAAAATCTAAATGAATTAACATTAAAGAAGATGAAGGATTTGAGTCTTTGGCTGTGTGGGCCACATTTCAGGTGCTCCACAGCTGCAGGTGGCCCAGAAACATGGTCCTCACTGCAAAAAGTTCTATTGGTTGGTGCTGGTGCAGCCTTAAAGCCACTCTCCCTCCCCTCCTGAAAGCCAACCACTGTTAGGGTTTTTCTGGTGATTCCTTTCAGAGATGATCTATGCACACAATCAGCACATGGAGTTAATATATCCACCTTAAAAAAAAATTAGCGTCTCCTGCTTAGTGCGAATGACCATGTAATAGTCCATGGAATGGAATGTATTCAGCTAGTTTCATAATGAAATGCTCTTGAGTTCTTCCCAGGTTTCCTCTCTTACGATTATTCTGTGGTGAACACCATTCTCTCTGCAGAGTAAATTCTTAACAGTGGAATTCCCTGGCCACAGGTTTATATGTTTTTCTCATTTCTTTTCTCTTTTCTTCCTTTCTTTTTTCTTTTCTTTCCTTTCTCTCCCTCCCTCTATTCCCTCTTTTTTCCTCTTCCTACCTCTTTCCCTCGCTTTCCCCCATGTCTTTCCCCCCTCTCTTCCCCCCCTTTTCTCTCTCACCCACTTTCCTCTTTCTTTTACAAGGTCTTCTATGCAATGGCATGATCCTAGATCACTGCAGCCTTGAACTCCTGGACGCAAGCGATCCTCTTGCCTCAGCCTCCCAAGCAGCTGGGGCTAATACCTGTGCCATCATGCACTTCCATTTTTTTTCTTTCTTTTTTTTTCTTTTTTATGGAGATGGGTCTTACTATGTTATCCAGCTTCATTTTCATCTTAGTAAGTGCTTTTCAAGGGTTCTTACCCAAGGTTACCTGGATAGAACTTAGTCACATGAAGCCCTTGTCACTGTGTTGAAGTTTTGTGTCTATCTCCTCCATCCTGGGGAGAAGGTTTAAAACTTCCCTTTTCAAGAAGATCAGTGACTTCAAAAAGTGTATGAATGTTGGGAGGCAAGGCAGGAGGATCACATGAAGTCAGGAATTTGGGACCAGGCTGGCCAAGAAGGTGCAACCCTGTCTCTACCAAAAATACAAAACTTACCTGGGCGTGGTGGTGCACGTCTGTAGGCCCAGGTTCTCAGGAGGCTGAGGCAGGCAAATTGCTTGAATCTGGAAGGTGTAGGTTGCAGTGAGTCGAGATCACACCACTGCACTCCAGCCAGGGTACAAATAGCAGCTTTAGACTTGATCCCACCAGCCATGGACACTGGGCACGTTCAGCAGTGGATCACCTGATTGTGCCTCAGTTTGCAGTGTCTTCTCAGAGTGCTGAAGTGGAGCATCTGAAGCCAGGGCTGGTTGTCTTGTTGCATAAATACTCTCTCCATTTCCACCTGTGCCATCAGCCTGGGTGGGGAGAAGACCCATGTCAGGGGAAAGCCGTCTTCCTCCTAAAGCCCCACCTGTCTGATGGCTGAGACTTCTGCCTCATTTCCAGAACTCCCAGGGGCCCTTGAACATCTTGTTATTTGTTAAATATGCAAGCACAGATTGCCTGTACCTCCCCTCGGACCTTCCTGCCGCTCCCTATAGAGCTGTCTGAAGCCTGGAAATGTTCATTTGCCTTTGGAGAAATTCTAGTTCCATCTGCCCCAGACTCATCACAATTACAGTAACAGCCTGCACTCTAACTTTCTGGAGCCTGTTCCAGCAGACAGCAGGTCTCTTCTTCAAGTCCCCTTTGCAACCCCATACAAGATGAGGAAACCGCAGCAGATGAGCTCATGAATACAAATTGCCAGAGCTTGAGTTCAACCTCGAATCCCCGGCCCAGGGGTTTGAGGCTTGGATTCAACCTTAAAGTTTGTGGGATTTAAGGTTGATGTGGGAAGTGTTCTGTTTGGCACCCCCTACACCGGTGTGTGGGGGTTGGGTCCTGGGTTGCCTGAAGAGCCCCAGTTTACACCTGCTGACCTGACGCATTTGTAACTAGTGTTCTCTTTAACTACAAAGTGTTGTGGTTTGGGAGAGAAGTTCTGTGCTCACCCTGTTCACGTGCACCCTGAGGAAGCTCTGACACCACCACGCAGCCTCTGATACACACTGGAGAAAGCTGGTGCTAGGATGTGCCTGTCAGCAGGAAGAGCTGTGAGCATCTACATCCACATGTAGACATATTTGTACACATACATTCATATACACACATCCATATATATACATGTCTTTACACACATCCACACATATGTATACCCACACATTCATACACATGTCTACATATAGACACATCCATGTACACATCACTGTACACACACATCCATATCCACACATTCATACACATGTATCTGTGTATTTCCATATATCTGTATACATAAACATCTACACACATCCATGTACAGATACATCTGTACACAGATGCACACACATTTGTACACACACATCAGCACACACGTAGCTGGGGATCAGGAAAACACAGCATTAAGTAATGATGGTCTGGTAATAGCGAGTATTGTTTTGACATCTTTTGGGTGAACTGACCAGCTAGTGGCTATCAGAGGGGGGTGTGGGGTGTGTCCGCAGGTTGGCGGGGTCATCAAACGTGGTATTTGTAGTTGCTCATGGCTTTTCTAGAGGATCTCCCGTGTGGGGCCTTGGAGTGTAGTGAGCTGTCCCTGTGGCCCACCTGCCAGTGTCTGCACCAGTGACCAACAAAGTTCTGGCTTCACGGGCCTCAAGGACTTTGGATTGTACTGTAAAAAACGCTACTGTGCCATCATTGGACGTGACTGGTCACCACGTGGAGATCAGTTGCCAGCGGCAGGATGGGAGCCAGGAGAGCCAGGAGGATGTTGCAGTCAGACAGGCCCTATGACCAGGGCTGGGGCTGGTGTGCAGCGGAGGTGGCAGATGGGGTTGACTCTAGTCATATTCCATAATGATGGTCAACTGAGTTCCTGGTGGATCCCATGATGGGCTTGTCAGTGAGAGAAGAGGGGTCCTTTGTGTTTATGTCTGAGTTTATAACACAGGTTTCTAATTTTGATAAATCTGGAGTTTAAAAAATTGGGGAAGGGCTGGGCATAGTGGTTCACACCTGTAATCTCAGCACTTTGGGAGGCCAAGGCGGGCGGATCACTTGGGCTCAGGAGTTTGAGACCAGCCTCGCCAACATGGTGAAACCCCGTCTGTACTAAAAATACAAAAACTAGCTGGGCACTGTGGTGTGCATCTGTCATCCCAGCTACTTGGGTGGCTGAGGCAGGAGAATCACTTGAACCCTGGAGATGAAGATTGCATTGAACCAGGATCCCACCACTGCACTCCAGCCTGGGTGACAGAGTGAGACTCTGTCTCAAGAAAAATCAAAAACTGGGGAAGGATCGGCATACAAAGCCATTGCCTGGGCTGTCTCCTGCCCTCTCTCTGTTCCCAGCTTGTATGATCGTGGCTGGGCTTGCTGGCCAAGCCTGTCATTTCAGGTGACACCAAGGCCTTTTCAGGGCTAAAGTGACCTGCAGCCACCCATGGTCGGCAAGGCCGAGTGGTTCCAGGCACAGCTGGAGATGAAACTGGTGATTGGTTCAGCCCCGTCATCTTTACAGGGAACCTCACGCAGCAGGTGGGCAGCAAGCCAGCCTCTCCGTATTGCTGAGCCATCTGCTGAGTGACCAGGCCCAAGTGACAGGTAGGCGATGAAACGCCTTGTGCCCCGTCTCCTCCGTGGCCAGGCTAGGGTGTGGGCCAAATGCCTCCTGAAGGTCCTCATCACCCCAGCCTCTCGATATCAACATCCCACCTAAGGAGAGACACAGGCTCAGCGTGAGCCCCCGGAACCCCCCCAACCTCCAACCACCCCCAGAAACCTTAAAATAGCAGTTTTTGGGCAGTTTTTATTCTCAACCACGATAAGAAACGTGTAACACTTTGACCTAAAATACACAGGGCATTTAAAACACACACAGGCTGAGCAGGTTCTGGCCCTGTGCCAGAGCCAGGGCGGTGGCGCCTGGGTGTGCCACTTAATGGGTTCTGAAAGATTTCAAGGTAAGGACAGGAGCTGGGGCTGGGGGCACTTGGAACGGTGGCTGTTGAACACCTCATGTGGGTGTTTGGGAGTCATAACAGCTGGCCCATTTCCACCTGTGTGTTCTGGATGACCTTCAGTGTTGCAGAAGCAGAAGCTTCAGAAATTTACCCAACAACCCATAGTGTGTGGTTAATTCTTTTGTCATCTGTCCTATTTGATTTTGTTATTTTGTTTCATTCTACTTTTTTTTTTTTTTTTTTTTTTTTTTGAGACAGAGTCTCACAGTGTTGTTGGGACTGGATGCAATGGTGCAATCTTGGCTCACTGCAGCCTCTGCCTCCTGGGTTCAAGTGATTCTCCTGCCTCAGCCTCCTGTGTAACTGGGATTACAGGTACCCACCACCATACTTGGTTTTTTTGTTTTGTTTTGTTTTGTATTTCTAGTAGAGACACTGTTTTGCTATGTTGGCCAGGCTGGTCTCGAACTCCTGACCTCAGGAAATCTGCCTGCCTTGGCATCCCAAAGTGCTGGGATTACAGGCATGAGCCACTGTGCCTGGCCTCATTCTACTTTATCCTTGGGCCAAGCACAGTGTCCCATGCCTATAATCTTAGCACTTTGGGAAGCCAAGGCAGGAGGATTGCTTGAGTCCAGGAGTTCAAGACCAGTCTGGGAAACACAGTGAGACCCCTGTTTCTACAAAAAAAAATGTGTATATGTATTTATATACAAAATTAGCCAAGGTGGTGGCACATGTCTGTAGTTCCAGCTACTTGGGAGGCTGAGGTGGGAGGATTGATTGAGCCTGGGAGGTCAAGGCTGCAGTGAGCCATGATCAGGCCTGTCTGTGGGCTGCTGTGCAGGGCAGAGGTGTTGGCTCTTCAAGGAGCCCCCCAACCCCAAGGCCCCTGGGGTATCCTGAGTCCCCTCTTTGCCTGGGGCTGGGGGTTTTGGTCCCTGGGGACTGTCCCTTTCTCCTGCCTACTCTCTGTCCCTGCAGCACTGCTGGAAAGGAAGGAGGATAGACGCTGGGTGGCTGCCCCGGGTGCCAAGCTCTTCGTGCCAGGGCTGGCGGGGCTGCATGCCATTGGCCTCCTGCAGCAGCGGGGCCGGCTCTGGACCAAATCCCTGAGGATCCAGTGCAGCCTCCTGGTTAAGGCACCACATGCCTGACTGTGGGGCAGATGGAGGTGGCAGGGCCTGCCCTGTTTCTCGTAGCTGTGGCTCTGCAGGGTAAGATATGCTGTCACCACAGGATTTTCCATGAGTCATTCTGTGGGCTCTGAGTAGGACTTAGTACCTGCTCATTTAAAAAAAAGGAGTGTCTGTTGAGGGGAATTCATCCATTTCTTAAGACTTCTCCATGGACTAATGGAGTGACAGGTGAAGTCACCTCACTGATGAAGTGACAGGTTCTAATGGAGTGACAGGTGAAGCAGACCACAGGGCCGGGGGAACATGGCTGAGGTCAGGCTGGGCTGGGCCCTCCTCCTCTTGGAGCCCTGGTGGAGGGCTGCTTGGCAGAGGAGGGCAGGGGTCCGTTGATCGATCCTCACAGCTCAGGCAAAGCAGCCAGCACACTAGTGCGACACTGGCCAGAGGCTGCAGACAGAGAGTGGCTCAGATGGCACCTACCAGCTGGTGCTGGGCCACGAGCTCCGCTGCACACACATCCCAGCCTTCAGCCACAAGGTGGGTGCCCAGGCCAGGTGGGACATCCAGAGAGAGCACCGGTGTCTGGCAAGTGGTGATCTGAGTACCCTGAGCTCATCCTCAAAGAGATGAACTTGCTCCCAATAGCATAGCCATATAGGAATGGATCCAGGGCTGGCACTTCAGCCTCAGTCTTATGTGTATTCATCCAGGGTTGCTTCAGCCCAGGAGGCAGAGGTTGCAATGAGCCAAAATGGTGCCACTGTACTCCAGCCTGGGCAACAGAGTGAGATCTTATCTCTAAAATAAACAAATAATAAGTTAAAAAAAAAAAAAAAAAAAAAGGCCAGGCGCAGTGGCTCATGCTTACAATTCCAGCACTTTGGGATGCTGAGGCAGGCAGATCATGAGGTCAGGAGTTCACTTGAACTGGAGGCGAGTTATGGGAAGTACTGGGACAAGAGCAGCAACAAGAGGCATCTCCGTGTCAGCCAGACCTTCAAGAATGACTCGGGGCCCACCCTGAGCAATCACTTCATGGAGGTAAGCCTGGCCACTGCAGCAGAGCTTTGCCCCGTGAGTCCAGCATGGACGGCGGGAGCTAGGGAACCCTTCATGGCCCTCTGGCCCTGGCTGCCAGGATGCAGGCAGCTGAAACTCAGCCTTGGTGACTTTGCCTTTTGCATCTCCAGCCCCATGTCCCCACGGGTGAGAAACGCTTGTCACAGTGCCAAGGACTGGAAGGAAGGCTTGGGAAACACAGATTTCCAACCGTAAAAATGCATTTTGGAAACAGCAGTTCGCTTTTAGTTTTTCCCAGAGCGGGGGTTCTTTTGCTGAGTTAGGAATCACTGTGTGCTCAGCAGATGAACAGGTGGTGGTTCTTCTACAGCATGCATTTTTTTTTTTTTTTTTTTTTTTTTTTTAGAGACGGAGTTTCACTCATGTTACCCAGGCTGGAGTGCAATGGCGCGATCTCGGCTCACCGCAACCTACCCCTCCTGGGTTCAGGCAATTCTCCTGCCTCAACCTCCTGAGTAGCTGGGATTACAGGCATCCGCCACCATGCCCAGCTAATTTTTTGTATTTTTAGTAGAGATGGGGTTTCATCATTTTGGCAAGGATGGTCTCGATCTCTTGACCTCGTGATCCACCAGCTTCAGCCACCCAAAATGCTGGGATTATAAGTGTGAGCCATGGTGCCTGGCCCAACCTTCTTTTTATTTATTTATTTTAATTTTAATTTTTATTTTTATTGCATTTTAGGTTTTGGGGTACATGTGAAGAACATGCAAGTTTGTTGCATAGGTACACACATGGCAATGTGATGTGCTGCCTTCCTCCCCATCACCTATATCTGGCATTTCTCCCTATGCTCTCTCTCCCCAACTCCCCACCCACCACTGTCCCTCCCCTATTTCCCCCCTACAGACCCCAGTGTGTGATGCTCCCCTCCCTGTGTCCATGTATTCTCATTGTTCAAAACCCACCTATGAGTGAGAACATGTGGTGTTTGATTTTCTGTTCTTGTGTCAGTTTGCTGCAAATGATGGTTTCCAGTTTCATCCATGTTTCTACAAAGGACATGAACTCATCGTTTTTGATGGCTGCATAGTATTCTATGGTGTTTATGTGCCACATTTTCCCTGTCCAGTCTATCATCAATGGGCATTTGAGTTGGTTCCAGGTCTTTGATATTATAAACAGTGCTGCAATCAACAATCGTGTGCATGTGTCCTTATAGTAGAATGATTTATAATCCTTTGGATATATACCCAGTAATGGGATTGCTGGGTCAAATGGAATTTCTATTTCTAGGTTCTGAAGGAATCGCCACACTGTCTTCCCAATGGTTGAACTAATTTACACTCCCACCAACAGTGTAAAAGTGTTCCTAATTCTCCACATCCTCTCCAGCATCTCTTGTCTCCAGGTTTTTTAATGATCGCCATTCTAACTGGCGTAAGGTGGTATCTCAATGTAGCTTTGATTTGCATTTCCTCTACTGACCAGTGATGATGAGCATTTTTTCTTGTTTGTTGGCTTCATGTATGTCTTCTTTTGTAAAGTTCTGTTCATGTCCTTTGCCCACTTTTGAATGGGCTTGCTTGTATTTTTCTTGTAAATCTGTTTTACTTCTTTGTGTATTCTGAATATCAGCCCTTTGTCAGATGGGTAGACTGCAAAAATTTTTTCCCATTCTGTTGGTTGCCGATTCACTGTAATGACTGTTTCTTTTGCCGTGCAGAAGCTGTGGAGTTTGATTAGGTTCCACTTGTCTATTTTGGCTTTTGTTGCCAATGCTTTTGGCGTTTTGGTCATGAAGTCCTTGCGTATGCCTATGTCCTGAATGGTTTTGCCTAAGTTTTCTTCGAGGGTTTTTATGGTGTTAGGTCTTATGTTTAAGTCTTTAATCCATCTGGAGTTAATTTCAGTGTAAGGTGTCAGGAAGGGGTCCAGTTT